AGCGATGCTCTGGGTAATTACTGCGCTCCGATGCAACGGCTGCACTTATGGCGTTGCCTGAGAACGTGATGACAAAGTCGGCGCCTAGGAAATCGCCTGGTGCCACAAGGGTTGTGTCAGCCAGCGTTGCTGCGAGCGGAGCTTTGTAACGTACAGCGGCGGTGCGGGTGGATTTGAAACACTCAGCGCGAGTTGTCCCGGAGGAATTCCTGGCGACCGCAAGGCGCTACGCGTTAGGCGGAAAGTTAAAAAACAAAACAAAACAAAAATCCCTGCCCGAAAGCATGAAACACTGAAAAGGCTCACTAGAATGAAACATCCTGAAAACGCAACTTATGACCAAGTCCAAGCAGCAATTTCTTCTGTATGTCTCAAGAGTACCAGTAAAGAAAAAGGCAATTCAGGGTGGCTTTATTTTAGAACATGGTTCACCCTGAAGTGTTCCACATGCTTTAGGCAATCGTAGCAGTGGAGATAACTATGTATCTCCATTCATATGTATAGATACTACATAGTGTAGCTATTCAGAGAATATTACATGCTGTATAAAAATAAAAGTAAGGAAATAGGGTGGTAAAAATGACAAAAGAGAGGTTAGGACTGGATGTGACTGGTCTGAAGCTGAACAGCTAATCTCGGTGTTACAAAGAGCTGGGGGTCTCTCTGTTAAGAAACTGAACCGTGATTAGAATACGAGATGAAATTTATGAAAAAACACACACAAAGGATTAAAAACAAGTTAAGGGAAGAGCTAGGTATGTTTTATATTTGCCTTAAAGACACAGCAACATCGAGGCAGCTGTTAAACTGATTCGTTACGTGTGCTAAAAATCCGCACTCAAGTTACACAGAAAAACCTATGTCGACAGACAAAATACATTGCCTTTTCTCTTCCCCTTTCTGCATCAAAGTAGACATAAACCTACTCACTCTGAAAGAAAATATTATTCTACATTGTTACTCTCCTTTTCCTAAAGAAAGATCTACTAGAAAATATTGCTGTTAAACAGGGTGATTATTTACCTCCAATCACAATTTGCCTGACTAGTAATGTCTGAAACATGCATGTAAAGTGAAGCAATATGTAGCGAGGTTTGCACAGGTAACCATTAGTCCCAGTGGACTGGTGGAAAAACAGCAATTGAAAAAGCTTGGGGAATCAGCCTCTGGTTTGCGTTTGGTGCTGCTAAATTACAGAACGGCACAACTGGAATGCAGAGCGCCAAAATGCTGACATTAAGCACACCTGGCACTTTGAAATGGATATCAGAGAAACTGAGGATTTACAGAAACGTGAGGACAAACGTGAGACCTAGCCACAGAGCACAGCAAAAAAAAAAAAAAATCCATGAATATTTGAGCCTCGAACATTATCACAACTGCAATAGAATGGGTGCAACTGTTTGAAAACTGAAGTAATATGCAAAGACACCAGGGAGGAATAAATCACACCTTTATGCCTTTCAGGAAGGAATGAGGGAAGAAGCACTGAGTCAGCTATTTTGTCTGAAGAGGTGCCAGCCTTGCAGCAGTCACTGCAAGTTCAGGCAGATGAGCCTCAAGACACAAAACAGGCAGCACAGATGGATTTGCCACATCCTTTAAACTGTAAAGCAGAGAAGACTTGTAAGACCAAGTGACAGCATGAGGCACGCTGGAAATGATCTGAGCATAGGTGAGGCTAATCAGAGATATCTTTAATTGCACACCACTGATCTGTACTCAGAATTTGGTATCCTTCACCCCAGTAATGCAGGGCAACCTTCTTTCTGCAGTGGCAGGAACTGCAGCAGCAGCAAGGCAAAGGGAAACTGGCAATACTTACAAGAAAGACAGGATTTTACCTTAGAAAAAACTGACTTAGAGCATATCCAGGGCAAGAGAGACCCATAGTGTCCCATTGTTATTAATTAGTGGCATTAAAATCAGTCATGGAACAGGGAATGAACACACAAAGCTTTTCTCCACAGCATTGCCCACTAATTGCACCCTTGTGGCTGGTCCCAGGCACTGGGACACCAGGATTCTTCTTCAACCCAGCCTTGTGAGTAACTCCCATAAATCAACAGGTCACCACCAGCATCATAGGTGGAGCCACTTAAGCCATTTTCCTTGGATTAATGCATGTCTGACAACACTTAGGATTATTTTTCTTCTGAAGAATAGGAGAACTTGCAAGAAGTGTTGGTATATAATAAAATCAGGATTTGATCTAACATTGCATTTACAGACTTGTGATGATGTGACAGGAATATTAATACAGAAATAAGCAGCTGCTTCAGGAATAACAACCAGAGAATGTTGTTTCTCATATCCGTGATGAATACACTTGACTGAGAAGGAGAGGAGAGAGATCCCCTTGGACATCTGCAAGCAGTGGCCCTCGGAGAAAAAATGTAAGTGCTGTTGTGGTAGGATCACTCAAGGAGGAAGATCAGGTAGGGGAGGCTTTTTGTAAGCAATTAATGAAGACCCAGTGGTGCTTTGGTGGTACCCAGAGCCTGTTTGGGAAGAGCGTAAACAAGGCTATGTCACAAGATCATGGAAACTTATTTACACAAAGGGAGGAAGAAGCAGCCCAAGAGGAGTCACTCCACATTGATTTTAAATGAGTGGGAGAGGCTGCAAACAATTTGGAGGACAAACTCATAATTCAAAATGATCTTTGACAGACTGGAGAAATGAGATGGAAAAGTAAAATAGGATGTTAGCCAATAAGGACAAATGCCAAATTTTATCACCAGGCAGGAACGATCAGCTGCTCAAGTAACCACTATCTAGATGGCAATTCTGTAGAGTGGAACATATGATTATAGCATAATGCAGGCTCACTGTTGTGAAAAAGGCAAACATCGTACAGGGTTATGCAAGCAGCAGTATAGCCTGTAGGACACACGGCACTCAGCACTAGTAAGACTTTAGCTGAGATACCACGTCCAATCTGGAACGCTTCATTTCAAAAAAGGTATGGTCCATGTGGAACATGGCCTGAGGAGCACAACAAGAAAGTGTGGAGAAACATGACCCAAGCAGCAACATTGAAATAAATGGAGCTGTTCAAAGATGAGAAAACTGAAGAGAGACAAAACTATCTTCAAACAGCTAAAGAGTAATGAGGAAGGGCATAAACTATTTTCCATATTCCTTCAGAATAGGAGAAAGTGGAAGAGGTTAAAGTTGCAGCAATGAAGATTTTGGCTGAACATTAGAATCACAGAATGACCCAGGTTGGAAGGGACCTCGGGAAGTCTCCAGTCCAGCCTCCTGCTCAAAGCAAGGTCAACACTGAATTTGGACCAGGCTGCCTAG